CCAGCCCCCATCCTGGAATAATCAACCCTTAATAACCAATCCAGCCCCCATCCTGGAATAATGAACCTTTGCAGACTGGCACCAACCCACTCAAAATGCCCACTGGTGCACACTGGTGCTCTTCCCATCCCAGGTGCCCAACCAACTCTGCTCAACTTTCCCACCAGCTCCTATAAGGTTTCCTACAACCGGGATACAAATGTTAATGCTAATATGTAATTTTAAGAGTTACTTTGTTGCTTCCCCCCATTTTTTGACACACCACCACCCCACAGCAGCACCACTGCTGTACTTGGAATGTTCTCATCACATCTGGAATGTGTCTGGCTCATGTGCAGGAGCACCAAGCCTCAAATCCCTGATACGACCCCCAAATTCCAGTGCACACCCCAGAAAAGCTTCTTTTCCTCCAAATTTGTTTGCTGCCCAACCTCCCCCTGCTGTGTGAACAGGACAGGGACACGGAGGGGACACTTTGTGGTACCCACAGTGCCAGTTCCAGCCCACAGGGCCCCTCAGCAGAGCACCTGGACAAACTGCTCCACCAGGCACGTGGACACCTGAAGTCTAAGCTTTAAAGGCAGGTTTAATCCTGGCATTTCCCAAACTCTGGAGCACTTTGCTCCCTAGGTTTCAGGCAAGGCCACCTGTGCATCCTGCAGCAGGTTTTAGGAATGGGGCCACACCAGAGCATTGCTCAGGTTGCACTGACACCTATTCCCAAGGTCAGAGGGGAGCAGTTGCTGTGCTGTGGCTGCCCCAAGCCCCCCACCCTGGAAGAACAGGTCATTCCATGCCTGGCACACACCCGTGGTACCCACCAGAGAAACTGGTGCTCAGCTGGAGTAACACTGGTCTCTGCTGCTCACGGGTACAACCAGCCTCAAACTGCTCCTCAAGGCCTGACGTTGGAAAGGAGGATCAAGACAAAACAGGACACTACCACATGGGTCTTTTTCTTTGCAATACTGATGGCTACAGTGAAACATTCATAACTGCTCAGCAGAGTAAAAATGTGCTACATGAGAACTGTACCGGGAAAAGCAGGGCCCCTGGAGCAGCTGGAGAAGAGTGTGCAGATCCAAGTCAGAATGTAACAGCCAGCTTCAAAATATGCCACTGAAAACAGATGAGAAAATCAACATGGTTGTCCTTTCCTTACAGTTTTGCAGCCACTGGAATTGGTGCAGTTCACACTCCCATCTTCTTGGTCGTGTTGGTGTCACACGGAGCAGGATGGACACGGCCCTCCCTTGGAGCAGCACAGGGTACAGTCCCTTGGACAGAGGGAGAGCTGGGAGTGTGCTCAGGTGCTCACCTGGGGCAGGTACCTGTCCCTCCTGCCCTCAGCACTGCACAGGACACTGGAACCACCCCAACATTCCTTCACAGCGCCGTGGAGGCAGGGGCAGCCTCGGTGCTGAATGGGAAGGGGAGCTGACACCCAGCACTGAGCACAGCGCTGCCCATGGGATCCACTGCACTGCAGCTCCACAGAAAACATGGAAAGCCAAGGCATGTGCTTGCTCTCCTGGGAAGCACACACTGTTTGGATTCAGAGGGGTTCCAAACTAAGAGAATCTCCCTGGAATGAATGTACAAAGTGCCACTGGTCCTTGGAACCGAATCTAATGTACAGGATATATTACAGCAAACAGCAGCTCTGCAGCTCGTGCTGGCCCCTCTCTGCAGTACATGCAGAAGGACTCCAATATCCACTCCTTACAATAGACTCCTTCCCTTTTTATACAAAGGAAAATAAAAACATAACTTAAAACAGCAATAAATAAAACTATGGAACGTGTTGCATCCTGCTCAGCCCCCTTTGTGCATCCCAATCAGACTGGAGAGCTTCTCACAGTGCTCAAGTTTCAGGGATTCTGCTTTCTGTTTTAACCTCTCATCTCTGTAGAGCTTGGCCAAATTGGACAAGTCAGACTCTGAAAGATGAAAAAAAAAAAAAGATGTATTAGGATGAAGCCATGAGCCTCCTTTAAAGAACTGTTTCTCAGTGCTTTGTTATCCTTGTGGCACTTGTTAATTCTAATTTTGCTGGGTATTGAATCCAGGGAGGTGAAGAGTTACCTGAGGGACTTGTCTGAAAGGCCTCCGTGCCCTTTCATTAACAATCTCAAATGTACTTTGCATATTTGTTCCCCTTCTTCTCAAAAGCAACATAAAACTGAAATAATCCCATTGTTTAAATTATTTCCCCCCAGTAATTCAGAGAAGTTTCTTTTGCTGATTAGCTGAGGAAATCTTAATATAGCTTTCTCCCTGAAGAATAATTTAGCTGCAGGATTAGATGCACTGAGGAGAACAGCAGTAATTTACTTCTGAAAAGGTCAACCTTTCCGTAAGCACAGGCTACCTGATGACACTCAATTTTTCAAAGAGCTTTTATACACCTCACAAGCCCCTCATTTCACAAAATTATTCAGAGTGGAAAGAACTTCAATAGGTCCTTTCATGCCTTACGTCCTGTGTCCCTGTCCCACCAAAATTTAAAGCCATTTAACCCTCCACCCACTTACTGAGAAGCTTCACAAACTGTCAGGCACGAACAGTTCATTTTAGAGCAGGAACCCATTGACAGGTTTATAACCCAAATGCCACTCAGGCAGTGCTGGGCACACAGCCTTGACAAGCCTCCAGCAAAACCAGACTTGGGTAATTGTCTCTGAGTCCAGAGTCCCTGGAATTGTGCAGTGGAGAATCTCAGTTTCCACTTATCCAATTGGGAAAAATTATTCCCTGCATTTTTGACAGGGTTTATTCCATCACATCTGCTCCTTGTGGGTTTCAATCTTCTACAGAGTTGTTCCTTTGAACTTTTCTCTTTAAGGACATCCTAAAATACTGCATTTCAGCTACGTTTAGACTGGATATTGGGAAGAAATTCTTGGCTGTGAGGGTGGGGAGGCCCTGGCACAGGTTGCCCAAGAGAAGCTGTGGCTGCCCCAGCCCTGGAAGTGTTCAAGACCAGGTTGGACAGGGCTTGGAGCAATCTGGGACAGTGGAAGGTGTCCCTGCCACGGCAGGGGGTAGAACTGGATAAGCTTTAAGATCCCTTCCAAGCCAAACCAAACCATCCCATGATTCTATGACACATATCCTGATTCTCTCTGTTTTCAGTTGCCTCTTTGTGACCCAGAGCTCTTTGGAGCCTCACTTTACAACTGTGCTATCCCAGCTGAAACATTCCTGTAAAAACCTGGGATCTGGTTTTTGTACTTAATTGTGCCAGAGGTTTCAGAAGACCCAAACCCAGAGCACACACAGCTTTCACATGCTGCTCTGCTGAGAAGGGGATTCCTGCTTGGTGCAGCACTATAAAAGCAACTGGCTGAACAAGATACCAACCTGTTACTTTTAAAGTTTTCCTTCAAGTTGTTGAACACCAGGTAGCACTTTCCAAGTCATAAAATCAAGGACTTTAAAACCAAACTGTTCCTGAGTAACTCATCTCTGTCCATTTTGCTGGTGCTAAAGAGAAATGCACCCTCAGTAAACACAACAAATGTACTATTAATAGGCATTCAACTGACAAAAAGCTGAGCACACTAAGTCAAACACTTCAACAAGGATTAAGAGACCAATGCTGTGGAGCAACAGCTGACTAAGAACTGCCTCAACATCTCCAGAGCTTGTCCCCAGCACTCCACACCATATTCACAGTTTATTTTTACAAAGTGAGCCCAACCTCAGCTGTGCCCCTTACCTGTTCACTGGTCTGGATGGAATCACCCTGAAAATGCTTAGTTTGAATTACAGTGGTGTCCTCAGGCTACTGCTAATTGTGGACACTGTAAATGTATTTGCAGATGGATGACTAACACAATCTCTAAATGTACAGAGCTCTGGAGGAGCAGGGCTTGGCAGGCACTTGGCATTCCCTGCTGGATCATCTCCCCCTATCTGACAACTGGTCTCTCTTAGACTCCCAAACTCTGTCCTTATTTTGGGGCTTGGCTCTCCTTAGCTCCAGGTCTACATGAAAGAGACAACTTTCAGTTGCACAACATCAATTAAAAGGATTTTTGTGCAAGAAAAGCTCTCTCCCTATAGCAAGCCTACATTTATGAGTATTAACAGCCAAATTACACTTAGAGGCTGCTCCTGCCACCCACAGATGCTCAAAGGTCACAAGTCAAGCACACCAAAAACTTCAGGATTTTTGTGGTCTTACGAATTCTTTTCCTTTTTAACTTCAGAGTGTATGTCTGTTTATTTCTCTTTAAAGCAGGATTGGTAACTTATAAGTTTTGAACCAAAACAAGCATTCCCATGAAAAACCTGTAAAGAGTTTGGAGTCAGCAACACTATTGTTACCTCTTCTGTAGGGTTAAACAAGTCTTGTTTGGACAAACTGTGTTTCCATAATGATGCAACTGGTAAAGAAACTGAAAACAAGTGCAAAGGCACTTTCTAGCAGTGTGCTGAGGACTGCTTCACACAGAGTGATTTAGAAAGCCCCACCAGCGTGTAAAAGCAGTTTGCTATTGAACATTCTCACAGACACAACTTGTTCCAGTTTCCTTTATACACAGCAGCACTTTGTGTTTACTCATTTAAAGGTGACGAGTTTTTTAGTTGAAAAAAATCTGTCACAACATCCCAACATCAGCTACTCCTTGTAATTTTATTTTTGTTATTTGCCAAAGAAGCAGGGATTTGCTCTGTTTTCAGTGAACCAGATTAGCAGTAATTAATAGGTAAGTAATGCAATATGTGGGTAAAATGCCTTAAAATAGGAGGTTCACATGCTTTTATTCACATCACTGAGTGACTCATGGCTGATTGAGAATAACGATTTTGAATGCTCACATCTGTGTTCTCCCTTCCTGCACTCAATTCTTGTTTTTAAAAGACTTGACTGTGGTGAAAAACATGATCTCAAACTCATCTAAAGATAGAAAATGCAAATAACACACAAACTGAGCACGGAAGCACAGCTCTGAAAACTGATACCAGGAACACAGCCCACTCAAGAGAGCACCTGGACAGGGGAAGTTTTAAGGAAAAAGTCAGAGAAACTTCTCATGGAGCCAGTCTGCTCCAGCAAAGGAAACATGGAATAGGTGATGTCTCCAGATCTTTTCTAGCCTAACCATCTGTCAGGGCTAGATAAACGTGGTGGGTTCTATGTTGAAAACATCATCACTTAAGGTTATTGGAGCATAAAAACTGAGCGGAAAAAAACGTCTCAAATGGTGAAATCTACTTTCCACTCATCACTTAAAATGTATTTTGACAGATTTCAAGAAAAGCCAATTCAGTGTTAAGAGCAGATGTGAGACACCTCAAAGCAGGGCAAGGTTGAGATGTTGTGAGCTTTGGAAACTGAGGCTAAAACCGGCAGCACTTTGTGAGGCGCAGCCACCGCCCAGCCCCCGGCGGGTTGTGGGCACACACCTGGGACAGAAAGAACTTACTTTGCTGTTTCTCCTTCCAGCAGCTGGTCTGAATATAGTCTATGTAATCCTTCTCAACAGTCTTCTCGAGCTCTTGGAGTTCTGCTCCTTGATAATTCTTCTCAAAGTTCCTATCGACATAGTAAGGCACCTGCAAGTTCTCTGTTTCTCTGATAATGACGTGGCCGATGGACCTGTGGGCACACAGAGAAACCAGATGTTAGAGCAGTTCAACCCTAAAGAAATCAAGAGCTGTTTCTCCACACTGGCATTTCCAGAGGACAGTATTTAGAGCCATGTTTTTACAGTTAATTTCTGCAGGATTATGGCTCCCTCATCCATCCAAGTAAGGAAATTACAAGTCTCGGACACAGCAAGCTGCACATTACAAACAGAATCCACCCGCTGCTAAAACCACAGGAAAATATCTAATGTTTGGAAATACCTACAAAGAACTGACACTGCCCCTTCTGAATACTGTGTTTGTTCCCAACAGCTCGCTCAAGACATTTCCAAAATGTCAGAGCAAATTTTAACTGTGAACTCTCCAGACAATTCCTTCTGTTTGCTGGGGATTCCTGGCAAACTCAGTCCAGAAATCCATGGGGATTGATAACTAAGGTAGAGATTATAAAGACTTGGGGCACAATGCAATCGGATCTGGATTTTCCTGTTTTCTGGATCCTTTAATAGAACTAAAAATTAGCAGGGGAGATTCTAATTAAACTTTTCTTCAGGGTTTTATAATCATCAGTAAGCAAAGTGGGGAAGAATTAGCCCCTCTGACTCGGCCACTGGATCAAACTCCATTCTTAGACCGAATTTCCTTATTTGAGCAAAGATACCCAGGCATTTGCTCAAATCACTGCCCACAGACAGAGGCAGGCAGCCAAAACACAAAGGTTACACTCTACTCAATGGAATCCTGTTTGCCCCTTCTTCCTGGACTCTCTCGCTGTCTCAGAGGTGTCCACTCTCTTTAAAGAAACAAATTCTTCTAGTTTTTAAGCTGTTTTTTAAGGCTATGATTTAGAGAAATGGCCTAACTGTGTGCCAGGCTCAGGCCTGACTATCTCACACCAGCAGGAGAAGGGGAGGCAGTGAAGAAAAGCAGGAGAGATCAGCTGCTGTGGGGGCAGCGTGGGAGGTTCCACATGGGACTGGTAGATAGCAAAAACACTCCCTGGAAAAAAAAAAAACCACCCAAAAAACAACCACCCTCCTGCTCTTCTGCGAGGGCCTCACACTGACATCTTGTGGCAAAATGATGAGGGGTGTTGGGCTACTCTGACAGCAGAGGGAGGGGACAGACCTGGACCTGAGGAGTTTTACTCCTAGAAGGGAGCAAGGGGTGTGTTTGGAGCTCTCTGCTGGTTCCCCAAAACCTGCCAATCCTACTTCTGGCTCAGTAAGAGCCGGTGAAGGTGAGCTCTTTCCCACTAGAGAGATTCCTTCCTCCCAGCACTGTTTTTTCCTCTGTCTCACAAACTCACATTACAGCAGCTCTGGTGGTGGTCCTTCTGCTTCCAGAGCTGACCAGCTCCCCAGGGTCCTGCTCCTCTACAGAAATCAAACCAGGGCATTTCAAGGCTTTAATGATTTGTGGAGCTTCCAGGGGAATTCATGCTCCAGAGCAGATTTGGATTCATACTGCAAACCACAGGCTTCATTATTTAACTGCTTTCCAGAGGAACCTCAGTGGTGGTCCACAGATTCCAGGGGCTGGGCAGACCAGAGGCTGATCTACACCCACATTTATCCTCCCGTATCACAGTGTAAAACCATTTCACACCAGCTGAGGAAGGTTTCTGGTCTGGTGCCTCTCTCTGTTCAGCAATAAAGCTCACCACAGGTAACTTCACAGCTCAGAGGAACTCATCAGGGCACACTGTTGGTATTTCCCTATTTATGAACTGATAACACTTGCTAGAAAGAGCAGAACATTAACATGAATTCTGCTATCAAATCCAGCTTCCTTCTGCCTCCATGTTGCAAACAGCAAGAACAGAAAAATGTGTTTTTAAAGCACTTACGACTTGTAGAATAAGCTGTAGGGAGGGTTGGTGGCCATCAGCTGGGTTATCACTGACACTACTATGATGATGAAAACTGGCATCAACTGGATAAATGCAGAATAGGAATTCTGAAAAGAACAACAAGAATTAGTAGCCAAGGGAAGACAGAGATGGAAAAAGAGGCATCTGTTCACAGAAAACAGGCTATCTATCACAGATCAACAATGTATTACATGTAAACTGAAAAAAAGAGGAAGTACTTTGGGATTTCGAGAGGGATGACACTGTAATTTCAAAATAACCTTTATTAATAATCTCAGACATCTCTTGACAACCATTTTCTTTCAATTATCTTTTCTTCTACCCCTTCCTTCACAAGGCAATAGACACCCACAGCACTGTCAGCGCCCAGCTGACAATCCAACCTGCAGGAACACACTGCAATTCCCATGTTCTATAGCTTTCCAGGCACTCTATGAAGCTTGTTACACCCATTCTAAAGATCTCACCCTCTGTTCAAGCACTGGATTAAATGGCTGAGCAGTAAAGGGTTAAGAGACCACACGTGCTGTAACTTGGGACAGGATGCAAATGCAACAAAAGAGTGGAAAAGTATCAAAGAGAAAACACAGATCTTTCCTCCTGCTTTTTGATTTCTTTCTAAACTGGCTTCTAAAATGCTAGGAGGAGGAAAATAAAGCATGCACCTATTCAGGCTTTGCCCTCTGCCCTGGGATAACAATGAGGATTCCTGATGTAGGTGGAATTTATTTGCCCTGTGTTTGCTGTCAGTTGTATCTGTTTCTTTTTTTCAGAGGCTAAGAGACTCACAAGGGAAAACTCATCTTCCTTGGAGAATGACCCCCTGAGGTTAACAGACGGTCTCCAGAGGGAGATTGTGCCAAGGCAGGTGGCACATGTGGATGTGCACTGGCAACAAAAGACACCCTGTCTCACCTGGAGGTCTCAGTTGGTAGAAATGTATCCCAGAGCCATCCCGCCCTGGGCTGGAAGAGGCCTGTGCAGCATCTGGGTGCTCATTCACTGAAGGCTTAAATACACCTTGAGGACAAACAGCAAAAGCCAGTGCTTCCACACCCATTACCAGGCCCCATTTGGACTAAATTTTGGATTACCAAACATTAGAGCTCGAAAAAAGCAGCAGCAGCAAACCCCTGGATGACAGAAACTGGAAAGCCTCTAATCCTACAAATACAAAGTATCTTTAAAGTAGTGATTAATAAAAGCCAATCCAGCCACATAAAAAACATCCCCTGTGGGTGCAGTCCTTGAGAATAAACAGTGAGCACTCAAGCATGGGAAGGTTTGTCCTGGCTTCAGGTCTCCCTCACCCTGGTGAGATATTTAAGCCCAGGAGATCCCTCCTCCTGGCTACCTGTGGCCTGTTGTCTTCCTCCTCCTGCTCCTGTGTCCATGCCCTTTCAGTCCGGTGCCTCCGTGGGTAATAATGTGCATCTCTGGCTACATTTGAGAACATGTGGATATTTCCTGTAAAAGAAAAGTCATGTTTCATGGCACTCACCTGTACTCCTCAGCTTCTGTTTAATTCTGTTGACACTACACAGCCTGATTACATTTGTGAGACCTCACACTAAAAAGCACAGCCAACCTCTGATTGAAATGACAAAACAACATGTCATTTCAAAAAGCCTACCAGAGAAATTGTAAAGTGTGCCCCAAGTCCATCTTAATTTAAATCAAACTGCAGAGACATGTTCTGATTTTTATGATTGTATCTCATATTTTAATGCTGGTTTTGTCACATTCAGTTGCAAGGCTGTGGCAGGAAAATGAATTTGCTTCTCCAGGCTCAGGCCACGAATTACAGCCTCCCATAATTACTGAATGTGCTTTTCTACTCATTTCTATTTCCTCTGCCTTCAAGCCATTAATGGTTTCACTTAATTATTTCATCATAAGCAAAGAGATTTTAAAAAAATAGCTTTTCGAGTGAAAAAAGGAGAACAATTCAGGATTTCCTTTCTTGCACGTGGAATGCAGTTGATTTATTTTTAAAAATTCTAAAATGAGGAAAGAATTGCATGTGCTGCTTCGATTTGAAGCTCTAACTCTGATTTTATCACCATATGAATATCTTAATAATAGCTTTGCTCTCCTCCTTTGAAATTCAGCATGCCTTTGTGTTAGAGAATTGGAAATCTATGGCTTATCATCACAACAGAAATGCAAATCTATTTTTAAGCCCTGGAAAAGATGTCACATTATTTTATACTCTTCCACTGTCCTTTTTTGAGTTTCCCAAGGAATTCTACAAGAAACCTGGGCGAAGGTGACCTTTGCTGTTGTGTTAAACCTCTGTTCCATTGCTTGTTCAAGGATTTTTCCAAGGCATGTGTGCCATCAGAGCTCCAACAGTGATCCAAGCCAGGCTGTCTCCAAGGAGGAAAAAGTTTCATTTTGGAATAAAGACAGTATTTTATCAAGCTACGAAAAAAGAAGCAAGTTTTGGAATAGAAGGATGGCTTTTACAGGGTGCCTAGAAAAGAGTTATCCCAAATTCCAAGTTTCTCCAAGAATTTCTGCCAGGAGTATCTTTCCATCCATGTGCATTTATTTTTCATGAGAAGGACATTAAAGTTGTAGCCTCTCCCCATTAGAACTGTGCCACGTGGAGTCTCCTTTGAGTTTTATCACAGTTAACATTTTAACTTTTAATATTTTTCCACTGAACATCCACAGAGGAAAACTGCACAGTAAAAACAAAGCCATAAACCTGCCCACAAACACCACACAAATGAGATGACACCAACACCTCTAATTTGGATTTGGATTTCCAGAGAGCCTGGTGACAGCAAGGTGTCACAAAACAAACACCAGCACAAACTTCAGCTCAGGCCAAGTCCTACTTAGTGCTACAACAGTTTTAAAAATGTTCTCTTTATATCAACTACCACTTACTAGCAATTCTCTTGCTAAATAGAATCTGTGAGGACTTTCCCTATCTGGAAAATTGCTAAAATGGTAATTTTCCATAACTTAAAACTTACTTTTACATTAGGAAAATGTACATAAATTTAGATCCACACACTTTTTTGGCGAGGAAACCATTGTTTACTACCAACACCAACTACTATGAAATACCTGTTTCTTTCCTTATTCTTTGCCATTTGGCTCAAAATTCCCATTTTCTCCTTTGTGCCACTCTCCCTGACAAACCTGCCATGCCCAGTACCCAAATTCCTCCTGCAGCTCCTCAGTTTCCTGTCCTCAATTCCAAGCATCCCTGTCCCCCACACTACCAAGCAGTCCCATTCCATGAGGGCAATGTTCCACAAAAGGCACACACAGGTGCAATTCCTTGCACAGCCAGGAATGGAAAACTTGCAGACTGTGGATGGAATTACACCATGCTGGGGTTGGCTCACTTTGCACATTTACTGATGCAAATTTGGGAACAACCTGAGGTCCCTTGGCTGCAAGATGCACCACTCACACTAAGGTTATGGGGAGCTTGTAAGTAACTGTGGCTTCAGGCCGTAGTAAGTGGTGTGTATGTGACTTTATGTGACACCTGGGAGGGGAAAAGTTTACAGGAATGCTAAAGCAACTCCTTAGATGCTGCCAGGAACACCCTCGAGCTCACCACACCTTTCAGATTGACTTTTAATCCACAGATCTTGTGGTATCTTTCTATTTTTCCTATAAATACAAAAGCCAAGGCTGGACTGAGACATGCCCAGAGCTATTACAGGTGCAGCTCCACTTCTGTGTTACTGGATCCTGCATATCCACGGACAGTCTATCCTGGCAGGGAGCACTTGCCAAGCTCCCAGGCTTGAATTTCATTCCAGCACACAGGAACGTGCCAGAAAGGCACAGGAACTTCCCTGCTTATAGAGGCACTGAGACCACAACTCCAGCAGCTGTGCCATGCCGGCCTGGAATGCTGGAAGGGGCCTCAAGTACAACCCAATCATGGAATGGTTAAGGTTGGAAAAGACCTCTGAGGTGACTGAGTGAGTTCAGCCATCACCTAAGACACCTCTGATCCCTTCCCATTCACACCTTATTTTATCTCCCACACCACCACTGGCTTCAGATGATGGAGGGAATAAAAGAAAGGCAGAAAACAATTCCAGAAAGGTTTCTGCTCTTTTCAGATGTATAATCAATTCCATGAGCAGTCCCAATGGAAGGTGACCTTCCTTTATGGTTTAAAGAATCCCAGAATATGCTGAGTTGGAAGGGACCCACAAGGATCATCCAGTCCAACCCCTGGCCCTGCACAGGCCCATCCCCAAGAGTCATACCCTGTGCCCCAGAGCACCATCCAAACCCTCCTGGAGCTCTGGCAGCCTTGGGGCTGTGCCCACTGCCCTGGGGAGCCTGGGCAGTGCCCAACCAGCCTCTGGGGGAAGAACCTTTTGCTGAGATCCAACCTGAGCCTGCCCTGACACAGCTCCAGCCATTCCCTCGGGTTTAGTGTCAGCCCACTGCACTTCAAAACCACTGACCTGTAGGAAAATGCCCACCAAAAAACACATTGAATATTTCTTCTGGTGTAATGTCTGCTTCAAACTCTGTGTAGTAATTGTAGTGCCTGGCCTGGCCAGTGCTGACGTGCTCTTGGTCACTTCCCAGTTCATCATATCGCAGTCGCTTCTCAGGGTTGCTCAGAACTGCAAAAGCATTGCCTATTGCTGGAGAGAGAATTAAAACAAGCATTTTAATTAACATTTCCAGAGCTCTGACTTTTATAAGCAGTGCAGCAAAAAAAAACCCCCAAACCCAAACAAGCATAGAAAAGTCATGCTTGACCAAAGATTGAGTCACTTTTGAAAGAACTGCCTTTGTAAAAGAAGTGTTACAGCACTGGAATTACCTGTGATGGAAACTACTTCCTGCTGCCACTGATGCCAAGAGAAAGTGCTAAAGTATATGGAGAGACCTGAAATATTCATAAAACTGAGGTGAGTCTCCACTTCAGCCAAGAAACTGGGTGAGAATGTAACGTTTTCTCAGCTCAAACCAAGCCCTGCACCTCCATATACCACACACAGTCAACACAAAGTTAATAACTGGAGAGACTAATTAAAATGCAGAGCAATATTCCAAGTTTTTCCTGCTGGCAGAGGTGCTCCTGAAGCTGTGTAGCACATCTACTTCACACTTCACATCCAACCACCCAGAAGTATTTGTTTGGTTCATCTTCCTCTTTGATCTCTGACAGAACAAGTTCATTGAGAACTACAACCCAAACACAAACAAACAAAGAAAAGCCCTTCAGAAGATCCTTAACAGACTATGAATGAATCACTTGCTTTCCTCGTGCTGTGCTGCAACACAGCATGGAAAGGGCAAAGGATGCAAGAGTTTAGATGGCAACAGTGTCAATACAGGACTGCAATTTTTCTGAAAAGTCCAGACACAGCATATTGGATTAAATTTTATATGCTTGCATAGATATACATATAAATTTATTGACAAGGAGCAGTTTTTGATTACACAACACCCCATTCTCCTGCATGGCCAGTGTTCGTTCCAAGCCTTGTTTTGAACCTTTCACAGAATCACAGAATGGTTTGGGTTAGAAAGGACCTGAAAGATCATCTCCTTCCACCCCCTGCCATGGGCAGGGACACCTTCCACTAGCCCAGGTTGCTCCAAGCCCCATCCAACCTGGCCTTGGACACTTCCAGGGATCCAGGGGCAGCCACAGCTTCTCTGGGCAACCTGTGCCAGGGCCTCCCCACCCTCACCGGGAAGGATTCCTTCCCAATACCCCATCTAACCCCGCTGTCAGTGTGAACCCATTCCCCCTTGGCCTGTCACCTCGTGCCACTGCACAATCCCTCAGAAGTTCTCGGTACATTTCCCTCGGTTTCTGATGGAAATATTGTATTTTGCAGAGGAAAATGCAAACCCTGCCGAGCCGCAGGGGGGTTCTGTGTGGCCGCCGGTGTGTCCGCGGCACCCGCGGCCTCTGCGGGTGCGGCCGCTCTGCCCCTCACGGAGCCCCCCGGGCCCCTCACGGAGCTCCCTCACCTTTGAAGGCCTCGGTGGCCCCGGGCGCGCGGTTCTTGTCGGGGTGGAACTTGAGGGCGAGCCGGCGGTACGCGCGCTTCAGCTCCTCCTCGCCGGCGTCCCGGCCCACGCCCAGGATCTCGTAGTAGTCCCGGCACCGCTTGATCCTGGCGGCCGACACACGGTTATCCCCGGGGCCCGCTCCCCCGGCCCCGCTCCCCGCCGCCCCCCGGCCCCGCTCACCGCCGCACCCCGTCCAGCTGCTCGGCCGTGTAGGTCATGTCTGCCCGGGGCCGCGCCCCCGCTCACCGCCCGCCGCCCCGCGCCGCCATCTTGTGCGCGGGGGCTGCCGGGAGCGGCCCCGCCGGGAATGGCGGCGTGACGTCATGGCGCGGCGGTGACGTAATGAGCGGCTCTGAGGGGAGCGGGGGGTGACGTCATAGCGGCCCCGGGGCGGGGGGACCCTGTGTGGGACCGGGCACGGCGTGTGCCGGGACAGTGCTGAGAGCGGGATGGCAGTGCTGGGGATGTCATGGGATCATGGAATGTCCTGAGTTGGAAGGGACTGACAAGGACCATCCAGTCCAACCCCTGGCCCTGCACAGGCCCATCCCCAAGAGTCACCCCCTGTGCCCCAGAGGATCAGCCAAACCCTCCTGGAGCTCTGGCAGCCTTGGGGCTGTGCCCACTGCCCTGGGGAGCCTGGGCAGTGCCCAACCAGCCTCTGGGGGAAGAACCTTTTGCTGAGATCCAACCTGAGCCTGCCCTGACACAGCTCCAGCCCTTCCCTGGGTGCTGTCCCTGGTCCCCCCAGAGCAGAGCTCAGTCCCTGCCCCTCCTCTGCCCCTCCCCAGGAAGCTGGAACTGCAGTGAGGTCTCCCCTCAGCCTCCTCCAGCTGAACACACCAAGTGTCCTCAGCCGCTCTTGTGTGGTCTCTCCAGACCCTTCACCATCCTTGTGTCCCTCCTTTGGACACCCTCCAACAGCAGAGAAGGCCCTGGGGGTGCTGGTGCCAGGGCTGGAGATGAGCCCAGGGGAGCCCAGGGGGGCAAGAGGCCAATGGCCCCTGGGCTGTGCCAGCCATGGTGTGGCAGCAGGACCAGGGCAGTGACTGTCCCTGTGCTGGTCCTGCTGAGGCCCCTCCAGGGCTGTGTCCAGTTCTGGGTCCCTCACAGCAAGGAAGACATTTCCCAGCTGCCTTCATCATTGCTAATACTGCTGCTGGTTTCCCCTCATCCCACCTGCCAGGGACACCTTCCTCTCGGCCTTGCACACTTCCAGGGATTCAGGGACAGCCACAGCTTCTCTGGGCAACCTGTGCCAGGGCCTCACCCTCTGTGTAAGATTCTCAAGGGTCTGTGGAAAGAAGGAGGTCAAAGGAAGGAAAACTTAAGCAGTGGTGAGATCCCATGGGATCGCAGGGGTCTGTGGAGATGTGTTAAAGCTTGATACTCACCAAAAACCTACTTGTGGTGTTCCATGCATGGAGTCACAGGTCTCAGGGATCTGGAGCTCTGGGTTCACCTAATTGGAAATCACCTGGGACTTTGTGCTTAAGCAAATTCACCAGTCTGGCAGAGGCTGGGTGAGCGACAGCATTTCACTTTTCATGAATGTTACCAGAAAAGCTGTATTTATTAAAAAACAACTTATCAAACTCCCTGGTGCAGATGTTAAAGGTAGAAAGTGTGTTGGCTCTTAGCAGGAGTTGTGAAAACATTGCATGTATTTTGCTGAACACTTCCTTGCCAGCTGCAAAGCACAGCTACTTCCCACACTGCACATGCCAGCAAACATCTCTTATCCATCCTATTAGATTAAATCAGGCTCAATTACAGTGTTTCACTGAACTGTGCAGGGGAATGTGTGCAGCAATACTCCTTCTGAGTGCTTGGCTAGGTCCTTTTTTCCCTAATGTCACAGTTTACCTTCAGGGTTGATGAATGATATTGCTCCTGTTAGGAGAGGCAGTATCTCAGTATCTCACTGTGCTGCTGCTGCACAGACAAGGTTCTCCCAAGGTCTGTGCTGGTGGAACTGGTGCAGCTTCCAAGCAGGAGTCACGGTGAAGATGGGCAGAGGTAGTGCAGGGTTAGTGCTTCAGGACCTTACTCTGCTGAATGAGGCAGCTGAGACCTCCAGCAATACCCAATGGGGCATCTTTTCTCTCATGTGGATGCTGGGGATGGACATCCCCACCCTTCTCGTGTGAGTATTTTGTTGAAGGTGGTGAGTGAGTATGGCTGAGGCTGAACCAGCTCAGGCTGTGACCAGCAGGCTCCAAACAGGAGCTACTGCCCTGAGGAACCCAACAAAGGGCTGTCCTTGGGGTGCCTTTGCGTGGTAAGATACACGCAGGTACCCCCAAAAATGCCAAGGCAGTGGAAAGAATCCAAAAGGTTTATTCTGAAGTCGAGAATGCTAAAAACTCCCAAAGAGAACCTGCAGCAGCTGCAAAAGTGCTGGGCCTGGGAAAGCCTCTTGTTCCCTTCCAGGCCTCTTATCTTCTCTGTCCTCCCCCAGGCCCTCTCCAAAGCAAAGGCCTATAACACTGTGGGGGTTTATTTCTCCTCAGAGCAGAGAGAAAGACTGTAGCTTTCTCTGGAATGCAGAAGGAAAAGAAACATCCAACTGTCTTTGAAAAAAGGGGTTTCTTCTTAGGCAGAAAGTCTCCTTAAGTGAAACATCTAATTAAGCTCTAATGTCCTCAAAGTGAAATCTTCCAGAAAAAGGGTATTTACCCCTGCAGCCTTGGGAGTGCACTGGTGGTTCCTGGGGCTGTGCTGAGCTGGGGGCTCTGGCTGAATGGGGGTGCTGCTCTTCTGGTCTATCAGGAAGCTCTGGCAAAGCAGTGGTGGAGACGATGGAAGCTCTCCCAAGCACACTTGTGCAGCCAGACTGCAGGAGCTCAAGTAGCTCAGCATTTTGCTTCTGGCCACTGGGTTTTACACTCAGCTAAACTCCTGTCTGTGCAGAGACTTTATTCCTCACACTTCAGATGAGTGTTTAAGCACATAGGAAGATAGTGATCTGCCTGCCTGAAGCTCAGGTATTAATAATAAAGTCTTTAAGACAGCAAATTGTATTTCAGCAGCACCTTTAATTCACGGCTCTCCAAATGTTTTACAGACATGGACTAACGCAGCCTCACAACCACCCTGTGAGGCAGGTGGGTGCGATCATCCCCAGCACTGTGGGGACAACGAGGGCACCAGGGATAAGGGGCTTGGAGTATCATACTGGGATTTGACCTAGAACTTGGCCATTTAAGTCTCCTCAGGTCTTCAGATCAGGCTTTCCTAACACGCAGCTTTGACTTGATGTGGGGCTACGCTGATTAACGAGCTCGTGACTGCCTGGCACAGACTGTAAAGGCCCTTAGTGAAGTAGGTGGTGCCTCGGTGCTTCTTGCTGCTGGATTTATTCTGAGTGTTTGAAGGCATCTCAAAAATAGAGTTAGATAGCAACCACTGAGCATGGCAGGCCGTAACTGGAGAAAGCCCTTAGGCCCCAGCTGGGGAAGCTATGTAGGACACTATATGTATTGATCAGAAAGGACATAATAATTTATATATAAAATCCACCCTCGCTCTTTCCACAAAGGAAAAAAAAAGAAAAAGAACCTAGAAAGTCATTGCTGGTTGTGATGTCTCAGCTTCATTCTCTGGGCTCTTCATAGCACCTGGCAAAAGAACAAGACACGGTGCATCAGCAGCCTGTTTGGGCTGGCAGAGGAAGTTCAAACCATTGTGTTCTCCCAAACTCAATCCCAGCTTTAAAACAAGTGAAAATGATGTGAAATCTTCGTGTGGGATGGATGTGAGGGCACTGAAGGGAATGTGCTTCAACCACCTGTGGAGCTGGAGTGGGTGAGCTTGGGCTGGAGGGTGAGACCTTGATTTCTCAAAGGCTGCTGACTTCTTCATTTAATGACAAACCACTCCAGCTTTGTTGGCTGGCCCTAGGCCATGTCACCTGTATACATGAGGTACATTTGACACCTCGAGTTTAGGCAGCTCAGGTAAACCTGACATGGGCGCCCAAACTTTTCACCACGCTCACTGGAACCAGTTTGGACATTTAGGAGTTTGATGGCAGCTGTTTTTTGTTATATTTCTGAAGGAATAAGAGAGCAAAGAAATACCTCAAAGGCACGCTCTCATCCAGCCACAGAAATGATCCCCAGCTAACGCCCTAAAAAGCAAGGCTGAAAAGGGACACCTTTTCTGATGGTGGGTAACTCATGCTGTTGTTCATGTTGATGTTCTTCATGGAGATCAGAGTGATGCTGTTGTCCTTCTGGCTCGTGTCTGCTGAGCAGCTGTCAGGGAGAGAAGGTGGTATTAACTGCTCTGGGAAACGAGAGAGGGAATCACAGAATCTCAGAGTCATTTAGGTTGGGAAAAACCTCCAAGATCATTGAGTCCAACCTGTGCCCGATCCCCACCTTGTCAGCCAGCCCAGGGCACTGAGTGCCATGTCCAGTCACTCCTTGGACACCTCCAAGGACAAAGTTTGTTTGCACACAACTGGAGGCAAACAGGCAAGGCTGAGTCTGGTACGCAGGACCAGGTTTCCATTGCCTGTTGAGCTGCTGTCCTGATTCAGGCCCATCCTTGGTGCCGCACTCCCAGATCTCTGGGCAGACAAGCTGTGTGTGCCCTACAGAAAGCACCACTGTCCCCTGCGTCACTACTTGTGGGCAGAGTCAGGGAGCAGTTTGGTTTTGGTTCCCAGTGAATGGATTTCCTGCCAGCCCTGCAGCCCTCACCAGAACTGGAACAAAAGAGAGCATTACTGGGAGCCCTGCCCTAGAGTGGGAAAAATCCTTCTTTCAAATTCAGAAAGACGGCAAAAACCTGTGAGACAAGGGAAGGTAACGGAAGGTTTAATTTCAGCATTCTGTGTCCCAAAGCCACTCGGGTCTGGAAGCATAGGACCAGTTTGAAAACCACACCTTTTGTAGTTCTTTCGGTTACATAAGCTGTTACATACTCATTAAATGCCCTTTTTACCTTAAAAGGTTATTTCTCTGACCAGGGAGGAGGTGTTACCCTTCTTTTTGATTGATTGTGACGTACCCCCCTGGACCTGGTCCAGGGGGATCCCCCTTTACACAATAGGCTACTGCATGGCAGAGAAGGTCTTTGTTTAGTTACATCTTTACTTTTTGTATTTTTCCCTATTCTCAGGCACAAAAGTTCCCTGGTGTCAGGTTCAGACAGAACCATTCATCTTACTACTCCGCCCCACACGTATTTTAATTAAAAAAGAAAAAGGAACCCCTCTTCGGTTAATAAAAGTCCCTCCCCCCTTTCACCTTTCCACTCAGTTCCTTCGCTTGTAATAAAACCAGGATA